TTCCAAGCGGGCGCCTTGGTCTGAATCTTTGGGCCAGCAGCAAAAGAGGAGCGGCTTGGGAAAAGAGGCGCCTCTCCTGATTCGGACTTTCATTTGACCAGCTGACCAAAACTACAAATTCTCCCGCAGCCACTTCCTCCCAAGCTCTGACCTGGAGTTTCGGCACAAAGGAGCACCAGGGAAGCCTTGATCCAAGGACTTCCTGGAAGAGGAGCGACCGACACAAAGGGGGAAGATGTCTCGAGGGTAAGCAAAAGCAACCGGGGTCACCCCAAGATTGCCAGGTGGGAGGGGTCTCAGGCTTCCCGATCCAGCCTCGGAGTAAGCCCACTGGGGAAGGGATTTTCGGGACTCGGTAACAAATCCTGGTTGAGGGGTGGCGGACACCTAGGCGTTTGAGGTCCAGACTTTGCAATTCAGCTCGCTTTTTTGTGGACCTGAGAGGGGCTGTGTGGGAAAGGGAGTCCTCCCCTTTTGACTGCCTAGCCATTCAGGTGCTGATCGCTCGGAGCTCTTCTGACCAGGTACCTTCCAGTGGGTAGTTTCTTTCTGTTCCGGTTGGCAGTAAACTCCCCTGATTAACCACTGGACTGTGGGGCTGCTTCAGAGAGATGGGCGCCTGCCAGTCAGGGATCAAACGTCCCGTTCCACCAGAGTCACCTCTAGGCAAGATACTGGCAGAGTGGAACGGGGTGGCGTCGCAGTCGCTGACGCAAGCCAGTATGGTAAAATATTGCATGAAGAAGTGGCCCACAAGGCCCTTGGAGGGTGGAGTTTCATGGCCCCCTCATGGCAGCACCGACCCGGACCTCATTCTGAAGCTCCATTCGGACTGTTGTGAGAGAGCCAAGTGGACCGAACTTGCCTATGCCTCATGCTTTTTTGCCTTGTACCGGAGGGAGGCGGAAGGGGGTAGTTGTGCCCAACTCCTACCATGCAAGGAGAAGGTAACAAAGCCCCAACCCCCGAAAAACCCCCTCCAGACCCTCTACCTCACCCTGAGGAGGATCTCCTTGAAACATTTGCTTGCCCCTTCACTACCTCTGACCCTCCTTACCGCCCCAACCTTCCCCTTTCCCCTCCTGCAGCTCCCCTCGCAGCCCCTCCATCTGAGTCCCTCCTCCCAGGAATCCCTGCCCTCCAGTCCTCCCCAGCTCAGGCACCCAGCCAGCCCAGACCTCCTGAGGCGGAGAGTTCCTCCTCTGGAAGATCGGGGCCCTCCATTCAGAGTGCCTCCACTCCCTTGTACTCCCCATTGCCATCTGCTCCACTGCGCAGCCCCACTCCTGCCTCATTCTCTCCTCCCAGCTCATCCAGAACTCCCTCTTTGGGCCTCAGCTGCCCACCTTCCTCTTTTTCTTCCTCTTTCATCCCATCCATATACAGCAGCCCTCTTGATCGCCTTCTCCCCCCAGCTCAAACCCCCCAGAGGCCCTCCAGCCCCCGGCTGGAGCCCTTTTCCCTGCAGGAACTTGATCCCCTTGCCCCCTCCTTCTCTCCCCAGCCCAGGTTCCCTGCCATTTGTGCCCCAGCACCTTCCACTCCCACACACACACCCTCCCATTCCCCTTGCTGCCATCAGGGCACCTCAGGGGCCCCCACAGGGACCCCTCCCCCTTCCCAGCAACTTTGGTCCCTTCTCCTGCCCCACCCCCAGCCTCTCACAACACCCCCACTGACCCAAATGATCCTTTTGAACCCCTCATCACCAAGGGCAGCTTGCGTAGCCACCCTGCCCACATCCAGGCCCCCCTAAGGGAGACTGTGGGCCCAGGGGGTGCCTCTTTTCTTGTGCATGTCCCCTTCACTATCTCTGACCTTATAAATTGGAAGAGGAGCACTGCTCCTCTCTCCCAGGACCCCACTGAAATGTATGAACTGCTTAAGACCATTTTTCTCACCCATCGCCCCACATGGGGGGATGTCATGACCCTTTTGGGGTCACTTCTCACCCAGGAGGAGAAGCGCCGCCTACTGGCCGCTGCTCAGGCTGAGGCCATGAAGGGGGAGGTGGATGATGGGGAGGATAGGGAGGTAGTCTTCCCCACAAAGGAAGATCCAGGGTGGAATTTCAACACTGACTCAGGAAGGCAGGCCCTAAAGAGTTTCCATCGTCATGTCCTGGTGGGTATACCCCTCGTGTGCCCCCACCCCTTGAACCTCTCCAAGCTCCTTGACATCCAGCAAGGGCCGGATGAGAGTCCTTCTGACTTCTATGACTGGATCTGTCGCATGGCCAAGAATTGGACCAATATAGACCCCACTGACCCCAAAAGCCAGCGTATGTTGAACACCCTTTTCATTGGGAAGGCCACCAGGGACATCAAGCTCAAGCTCCAGAAGCTAGAGGGAGGGGAGGGGATGCCCATCTCTCAACTAATCAACATTGCCCTCAAAGTTTACCACAACCGGGAGGATGCTGCAGTCCAGAAAGAAGATGATGATCGAAAGGCCCAGGCTGAGATTCAGGCCACCTGCATGGTGGCTGCTCTGGCTGAGAGGGACCGGGACAGGGATGGGGGCAGGGGCCACAGGGACAACAGGGACAGATCAGCCTGGAGGGATCGGAGTCAGGGGAGGCAGGGGGGGCACAGGGAGGTTCGGTGCTTCGAGTGCAAGAGGTTGGGACACTTCAAGAAGGAATGCCCAGAGTTGAAGGAGAGGGGGGGCCATGAAAGGGTCCTGTGACTAGGGAAAAGGATCTCCCTGGCCCCCTCTGACCCCATTGTGCCACTGAAATTTGGGAGGAGGACCATTGACTTCCTCCTGGATTGTGGGGCCACTCACTCAGTGCTCACAGAAGGATTCAGGGGGACAGAATTGAGGAGCAGGAAGGCTCAGGTAGTTGGGGTCTCAGGGAAAGAGGCAGAGCGTTCCTTCATGAAGTCCATGGAATGTGAGGTGGGAGGGAGGACCTTGTCTCATGAGTACCTATATATGCCTGAATGTCCTGTTCCCCTTCTGGGCAGGGATATCCTTTGTAAGATCAGGGCCCAAGTCGCATTTGGGCCAGGGAAAATCATCCTAGCCATACCTGAGGAGGAAGGATGGAGGGCTCAGGCCTTCCTGCTCCATCAGCCCAACTCAGAAGCTGACCTGATTCCCTTAGCCATCCTGCAGCAGGTGGATCCCATTGTATGGGCAGATGGGGCCCTGGGGAGGGCCAAGAACATTGCACCTGTCTCCATCACCCTTAAGCCAGACATCATCCCTCCCAAGATCCCCCAGTATAGGAATTCACTGGAGGCCAGGAAGGGGCTCCAGCCCATCATTGACAATTTCCTCCAACACTCCCTGCTGAGAGAGTGTGCCTCTCCTTACAACACTCCTGTCCTTCCGGTTCGTAAACCCAACAGCTCAGAATTTCGTTTCGTTCAGGATCTAAGGGCCATCAATGCTGTAGTAGTGGACCTACACCCTGTGGTGCCTAACCCTTATACTCTGCTTTCTACTATCCCTCCTTCTTGCTCTTGTTTCACTGTTTTAGACTTAAAAGATGCGTTTT